AAACCCCCCCCCCCCCCCCCCCCCAAGTGTTTTACTCTAATTTAATACTTGTATTTTTTACACACATTCTCAATATAACAAAAATATATTAACATATTCAGTAACCAGTAAAGCCTAAATGCATGTTGCTTTCAGAATTTTTACTAGTTGCTTATTGTGTGACCAAATATTTATATTTAAATAAATCTTTCTTTGTGCATGTGGTCTGAATTTTTCTTTTTGTGTGTTTGCCTTTTACCAGGTGACCTACCTTGGCAAGGTGTCGATTTCCGGCACTCACTTCCTGTCCGGCTGCACCGAGTCGGCTGTGGTGGGATTATGGGACACCAAGCAGACATCAGTGGCCCACGATGACTCCATCACCTCCAGCAACGGCGTACTGGAAATCCGGCCGTTCCAGGTACGACTGCATCACCTGGATGGGCGGGGCGAGGCCACGGTCGCCATGGACACCTTCCAGGTGGCTCGCATCGCGTACTGCACGGCGGATCACAACGTCAGCCCCAACGTCTTCGCCTGGATCTACCGGCAAATCAACGACGATCTGACCTTCCAGATGGACTGCCACGCCGTGGAGTGCGAGAGTAAACTGGAGGCCAAAAAACTGGCGCACTCCATGATGGAAGCCTTTAAGAAAACCTTCCACAGCATGCGCAGCGATGGAAGCATCCACAAGAGTGGCTCGTCCGACGAGTTCCCCGAAGAGGCGAGCACACCTGACGACGGCTGAGAGCCCGGGGGTGGGGAACGGCTCTCGCGCTCTTTACGTCTTTGTGCCATAATAGAATATTCCGAAAAATAACCACAACAAAAACAGAACGCAAATGGAAATTCAAACCACAAACCAAGAAACGAATCTGCCTTTTTTCGATCTCGGCTGCCAGACAGTTCGTGCCCGTACTTTACCACAGTCGCACTCCCACTTGAAAGCTGCTGGTTTTGATATGGCGCGTGTGAATTGGCAAGAACTTGTTACACGTTCGCCGGTTATGTTACTTTCGTTTTGCCGATCAAAACCTTTGGATCTGGGAGTTCCTGATTTGCGTGCGGAAATCTTTTATGTCGTTTTTTAGATAACGCAGAGGTGTGTTTCCTCTGCTAAGTAGAGTTTCAGAGAGATAAAAAAAGATATAATTTTGATATTTATGGCAGGCAGCCAGCCTAGGGCATTTCTTTACCTTTATCGGGCCATAGAAGCGTAATTATAGGGACCATGCATCGATTTCTATGCTTTTTATTTTTGTTGTTTGTTTGTTTTTTAAGATGCCAAAAGTCAGTGTGCGTGTGTGTGTGTGTGTGTGCGATCTAGGGATTGTTTGTCTGCAGTATCTATGGAACGGGTTCTCTACTACAAGCTGAGTGTGCTTGTCTGTTTAGTGCGTTTGTGTGCGAGGTGTTTTCCAACAGAAAATACTGGCGCTTGTGGTAAATGAGATTCCAGATGCATCTGTATTTTAAAGCCATAGTTCACCCAAAATGAAAATTCTGTCATCATTTACTCAACCCCATGTCGTTCCAAACCTGTATGAGCAGAAGAAGACATTTTGAAGAATGTTGGTAACCAAGAGTTGCGGTAGCCGCTGACTTCCATAGTATTGAAAAAAATATTATGCAAGTCAATCGTTAACGGCAGCTGTTTGTTTACCAGCATTCCCCAAATGTTCTTCGTTTATGTTGAATAGAAGAAAGAGACTTTGCTTTTGAACTATTTCTTTAACTCCTGCAGGGCTTAGGTGCGGTCACGTTTACTCTTGTTCGTGAGCGAAATCCAGTCATTGTGATAGTAGTCCGCAAAAGTTTTGTGAGGAGGAAACAGTTCACCATGCAGATTTTGCTTGGTTTGAAAGTGGCTTAAGTGTGAGCTGTGCTTGATACATTGCTACGCTATTGTTGTTTGTTTGTTTTTTAAGATGCCAAAAGTCAGTGTGCGTGTGTGTGTGTGTGTGTGCGATCTAGGGATTGTTTGTCTGCAGTATCTATGGAACGGGTTCTCTACTACAAGCTGAGTGTGCTTGTCTGTTTAGTGCGTTTGTGTGCGAGGTGTTTTCCAACAGAAAATACTGGCGCTTGTGGTAAATGAGATTCCAGATGCATCTGTATTTTAAAGCCATAGTTCACCCAAAATGAAAATTCTGTCATCATTTACTCAACCCCATGTCGTTCCAAACCTGTATGAGCAGAAGAAGACATTTTGAAGAATGTTGGTAACCAAGAGTTGCGGTAGCCGCTGACTTCCATAGTATTGAAAAAAATATTATGCAAGTCAATCGTTAACGGCAGCTGTTTGTTTACCAGCATTCCCCAAATGTTCTTCGTTTATGTTGAATAGAAGAAAGAGACTTTGCTTTTGAACTATTTCTTTAACTCCTGCAGGGCTTATAGGTGCGGTCACGTTTACTCTTGTTCGTGAGCGAAATCCAGTCATTGTGATAGTAGTCCGCAAAAGTTTTGTGAGGAGGAAACAGTTCACCATGCAGATTTTGCTTGGTTTGAAAGTGGCTTAAGTGTGAGCTGTGCTTGATACATTGCTACGCTATTTATGGTAGCTTTTTTTTTTTTTTACACGACATTTTTTCGAAATCTTGATATTGTGACCGCACCTGTAGTTCACGATCGTAAACAGAAACTTGCGATGGGTGCCTTCGAAACAATGCTTTGAAACATTTATCTTTTTTTTTTTTCTTTTCGAATCACTGTATCAAACTCGCCAAGTCATGTGATTTCAGCAAATGAGGCTTTGTAATGTCAAACCGTTTCAAATCATACTTAACGTAAAAATTGTTTGCTTTTGTCAAAAATGCTGCTGTTGATCTAGTGAAACTATCAATGGTTTTGAACTGATTACGGTTCATTTTCAATTCATTTAATGAGCTTTAATTGATTTGCGAGTATAATATGATAAGGAAAATTGACTTCTAATTGACCTAGTTTGCCTAGCCCTGCCTAATGAAGCAAAAACAAGCACTACAAATTAATAAAACGCAAATTTCAAAGAACCTTCATATGTAATTATTTGTAGATTACTTTTAATAGATTACACTTTCATGAAAATATTTGCAGTTTTATAAAAGGTGTCATTATGCATGTTTGGGCTGAGTTTTTGTTACATTTACACCTTTTTGACCAGCAGGTGCCGCCAGGCATTTTGTGTGCTTTGAAACGAATTGATTTTATGAAGCAATTGATTCAGCTGATTCCAAGCATCAAAAAGCGTTGTTTCTCCCATCACGGACAGATCTTGTTATTGGACCTTCATTCACATACAGGGTGTTGGGACGTCTTTCTGGTGGATTAGAAGAGAACTGTGTTAATGTTTTGTGCAGGGAGAGGGAGGACACCAAAAGCATATCCCCCCACCCCCACCCCCTCATGCTGAATGTATGAAGTCTCTTGTGCTGCAAGCACTATACATGTACTGGTACTGAAAGCCTTGTTTGATTATTATTTTAGATTGTTGTTTAAATTTCAAAGAACCTTCATATGTAATTATTTGTAGATTACTTTTAATAGATTACACTTTCATGAAAATATTTGCAGTTGGTTTATAAAAGGTGTCATTATGCATGTTTGGGCTGAGTTTTTGTTACATTTACACCTTTTTGACCAGCAGGTGCCGCCAGGCATTTTGTGTGCTTTGAAACGAATTGATTTTATGAAGCAATTGATTCAGCTGATTCCAAGCATCAAAAAGCGTTGTTTCTCCCATCACGAACAGATCTTGTTATTGGTCCTTCATTCACATACAGGGTGTTGGGACGTCTTTCTGGTGGATTAGAAGAGAACTGTGTTAATGTTTTGTGCAGGGAGAGGGAGGACACCAAAAGCATAGCCCCCCCCACCCCCACCCCCTCATGCTGAATGTATGAAGTCTCTTGTGCTGCAAGCACTATACATGTACTGGTACTGAAAGCCTTGTTTGATTATTATTTTAGATTGTTGTTGTTTTTTTAAATATACATTTGTATTTGCAGGTAATTTGGAAGCTGTATAGGAGCCTTTTCCAGCAGTGCAATATTCTAGTCATAACAGAACTCCAACTATTTGTATTTCTCACAGCACGTGTCATGGCAGATGCCAAAATCCACTATAATTTTTTATAAATAATACTGTTTTTGTGTCATGGAATGTAATTTTTAAGAGTTTTTTTTACATGTATATAGGTGAGAATAAAGTTGTTTACACTCTAAGAAATGCTGGGTTAAAAAGGAACAAACCCAGCTATTGGGTTGTTTTGACTTTTGACCCAGCGGTTGGGTTGTTTTGACCCAGCGGTTGGGTTGTTTTGACCCAGCGGTTGTGTTGTTTTGGCCCAGCGGTTGGGTTGTTTTGACCCAGCGGTTGGGTTGTTTTGACCCAGCGGTTGGGTTGTTTTGACCCAGCGGTTGGGTTGTTTTGACCCAGCAGTTGGGTTCAAAACAACCAAATAGCTGGGTTTGTCCCTTTTTAACACAGAGCTGGCCGCTTGGTTATATTTAACCCAGCATTTTTAAGAGTGTAGGCTTCAAATACGCAGTTTGTTAATAAAGATAATATCTATTCAAATTAGCTTTGTTTGTGGAATCTGACTTGGTTGAGCTATATTTCTGATTCATTAAAAAGAACCATCTTATAACAGTCATTCGTTCAGGAATCTAACTACACTGGTTGAGCTGTATGTTTTTGATTCACTAAATGAACCGTCTCATTAGAGTCATTTGTTTGAGAAATCAGACTCTTCACTCCAGTTGAGCTGTTTTGATTCGTCAAAAAGAACCAGCTCATCAGAGTCATTCGTTTGGGAATCTAACTACACCGACTGAGCTGTATGTTTAAGTATATGAGTCATTTGTTTAGGGAACTTTACTACAATGGTTGTATTGTGTTTTTGATTCACGAAAAAGAACCAGCTCAGAAGAGTCATTTGTTAGGGGAATTTGACAACACTATGGTTGAACTGTATGTCTTTACGTCTTTTGATTGACTAAAAAGAACCATTAGAGTATTTTGTTTGGGGATAACAATATACAAAGTCATGGAAGAACACATATCCCAAAATTCCTTTCTTTTTAAAAATGGAATCATTTTGGAAAAAGACCCTCAGTGTTGAGCAGGGCATGGTGGTACTAGTCAAAACAAGCTGTAAATCAGTGACAGACATCTGCACTATCCGCCCAGCTGATCCGAGGCCCTTGGGTGTTGCTTGAAAGGGCTGTGTCAGATTAAGCAGTAGCATCTCAGCATATCTTCCATCTCTAATTGACCTTTTAGAAAGCAGCAAAGATTGAATCCTGATATCTGAAACAAGGCATCAAGAGCATCCCCCTGCCCAATTCTCTCTTCTTCTTCATCTCTCTGTTGGATCTCCTATCATACCATAATCTATCAGTGAAGCACTATGACCTGTTTTATCACAACCTCAGAGTCCAAGCTATTGTGTCCATTGCTGATCTGTGACCAGTGTGAGGTGGCGTTATCACAGGAATGAAGATCTGCACCTGATTCGCTTTAATCCCCACACAAACTCATATCAGAGAGACAGGTGCATTGTGGGTAATGAAATAGCATAGTGTTATCAACAAGATTTTTGTAATGCAGATAGCATCATGCAGGGGCTTTAATGGAAGCTCTGAGTAGGCATCAGTGATGTGCAAATGAATGAATTAGGTTGCTTGTTTTTCTCAGGTTGCAAAGATCAAGTGTCATTAATCCACCCAACTGATTCATTCCAAACACAGGCGGCGAAGCAGAAGGGCTGATGCAACCTTACAAGAACATGTCTGGAGATTAACCCCGTAAAGCCTGATATATGAAATAATAGTCCGAAAAAAAATAGTTGAATGAACTTTTGGAGAAAGTAAAAAAAAAAATCTAAAGATTCATATGTGTTTTGTTTCATATGAGTGGTAATGAACGAACGAACGAAACGCATTTGTCCGTGTTTCACTCCGTCTCGAATCGCGTTCGCGGAAAGCGCTTGAGAAACAGCGTCTCTTCCGCGGCTCGGTACGCTTTCAACTCGTTTTCTTTTTTAGTCTCGAGCAAGACAGTACGACATTCACATTACATGATTTGACTGATTTTTACATAGAAAGAGCGGCAGCGCACCGCATTAAAAGAAATGATCATTCGTGTTTTCATAACCACTGGCCAAAAATTAAATCATCTTTGAGAGCAAGGGGGCCCCCTGCTGTTTCGGAGGCCCTACGCAGCTTGCCTATTTTGCGTATAGGGAGGATCGACTCTGTACAAAGTTATTAGCAGTGTTGGGGGTAACGCATTACAGGTTACGCGAGTTACATAATCAGATTATTTTTTCAAGTAACTAATAAAGTAACACATTACTTTTGAATTTACAAGAAAATAACTGAGTTACTTTTTCAAACAAGTAACACTTTGCTTGTCCACTGACTGACAGCTCTCCTGTCCCCATGTTGAAAGAAATCGGGAGTAAGTGCAGAGGTGTTGTGTGCGCTGTGTATTATTCCAATGCTTGATCCATCTGTGTGTCTGTCAAGCACTCTCATCTCATCCTCCTGCACACAGACAGAGCAAACGCATTTGCTTGGATTAATTCGGCACATCATCTGACCCCAGCACCTTACATATGTATTACCTGCCCCATCTGAATCAAGAATAAAATCCCTGCATGTCCTTGGAACACTGTTTTGAATGTCAAATTCTGATTTCAAATGCATTAATACATTCCTATGAGAAACAAAGCAACAGTGTTGCTAAGAAAATAGAGAAATGCACTTGACTAGAACAGACTTCTCATAAATAATAATGTGGTTAGAATATGATTCAGAGTCCAACAAAACAGATTTGTCTTCAGGTGTTCAAGCTCACTTCACCTTGAGTTCATATTGCAATGCTAATATATGCTATTTATTTTGCCTATGGGAGCCCACCTGACCTTACACATTGGTCACATGATCAAGCGTACTACTGACTTTACAGTATGTCAAGATACACAATCTTTTGGTTTAACTGCAAATGTCTTCTAGACTCTAATGTACCTTCTGATGTGAACCCAACAGCCTTACCTTAAAAACAGGTTTGTATTGATTTTTCCCATTTTGTGTACCTGAGATCAGAGGAGATGCGGACTTTGATTCTTGTTCTTGATTTATGACTGTGAAGGCTATCTTCAGATCCGACGTGTTTAGTCTGTGTAGAGATGACATGGGTGGGCAGAACACAGATGAAAGGTGCGCTTCTGAAGATATTTTTGATAAATGTGTGACCCCATTCATTACTCAGGGCCGAAACAACAGACAGGCTCTGATATTCTTTAGATGCCACCTCTGTTGAATGTGCGGCAAACTAAAATGACATGATTCTCTAGAGCCTCCTAAAATAACTTTTTCCAATCTAGGAAGAAACTAGACTTCTAAAATTCTAGCAATATGGTATATGACAAATATGTAAATATTTATTTACTTGTTATATTTTATATTTATTTAAATATCTTTTTTTTTTTTGCTTCACAAGACATTCATTGATGGACTGGAGTGGTGCGGATTACTTGTGGATTATTGTGATGTTTTTATCAGCTGTTTGGTCTCTCATTCTGACGGCACCCATTCACTGCAGAGCATCCATTGGTGAGCAAGTGATGCAATGCTACATTTCTCCAAATCTGTTCTGATGAAGAAACATAGTCATCTACATCTTGGATGGCCTGAGGGAGAGTAATTTTCAGCAAATTGCCATTTTTGGGTGAGTTTTATGAAATATTGCAGATTGTACTTTTTAGCACAGGCTTCTGTTGGAAACACAAAAGGCTAATTAAACTGTGACCCTGATAGGATCCTTCCAGTGATGTGATGCAGTAAAGGTCTCTTTTCAAAGACACTAGGACAGTATGAATGGCCTTTTCCTTTCACATGGAATCCTAGTGGACATAATAGGTGAGCCTTAAAGCAATAGCTGATTGGTAAACACTTGAAACAGTTGCGTTATGCCAACCTTTGTGTTCATTGTATTAGCATGGGCTTAAGGTTACACACTTTTCTTGTTGTTTTCCTTTCTGCGTGCGAAATTGGAAACACTCGGTTGACCTTTTCATGTGATTACAACTCAACAACACACTGACATTTCAATCTCACAGACCCTTAGTTCATTATAAACCACCTGGGATACACACACTCACACCTGGCATCATGTCATGCAAATGAATCATGTCTAAAAACAAAACAAACAAAAAAAATTCTGGAGGAAATGTGAGTGGTGTCTTGGCGCTAGTATGTGGTTTGAATTATTTTGTACTGCATATGATCTCAGTTAGGGTTATTATGAAAGCCTGTTTCCTTGACAGAAAATAAATCCACAGTTTATGTGAAAAATATGCTCCTGAGATCAGGTTGGGAGTGTGTTGTGGCTGTTGGATTGATGTTCTGGGTGTTTTTAGTGCATGTCTTAGGCCTTTCTAAAAGGTTGCAATGGTGTTGTTAGTGGTTAGTTGCTTAGAAAAGTAATACACACTTCTTCTCAACAAGCTGCACATTTTGAGGTATGTCCATGTGTGTAACACAGACTGTGAACCAAGTTCAGTACATTGGGTTAAGGGTGAAGATAGCAAAAGTCATGCTTGCCTACACATAATGCACCAAACAAAAAAAACAAGCACAGACAAACATGCAGCGGAGGTTAAATGTAAAGCTGTAGATAGAGGCACCCAAAGTAAACGTGTCTTTGGTTGACAGAGATTAACAGGGCAGACTCTGATCTTCACAGCCCACTGAGACTGAAAAAACATCTGCTGAATCATGCACACACAACCACTGACTTATTCACACATAGACACACACCTACAGATGACATCAGTGACCTTTTACTCTGAGAGCGGATGAAAGCACAT